ACCTCGCACTATTCGATTCATTTTGATATTTTACACAAAATGACGCAAGCTTTTTGCAAAATAAAATAATGCGTCGAAAAAAAACGGCTTTTGAATTTTTTAAAAATGCATCAAAGTAAATTGAACCTTAACCGTTCTCAACACCTTCAACTGCAGCTTGCTAGCCTTAGTTCCACTACGACGCGTGCTATGATACTGCCGCTGTACGATAGTATGCCGCTCACGGAAACGTTTGAGAATACTGCACACGATCGATTTATCCAATTTCAACGAGTTCGCGATTTTTGGACCTGACCACGTCGTGTGTGTTCAAAATTAATTTTCGGTTCGCGGCTTCCATCAAGTATAACTTCTTTTAAACAAAATGAATCGTGACGAACTTTTCAGCGTTGAAAAAGGAAACATTTCAAAACAAACTGCTGTTCAAACATTCCAGATCTGACCGCTAGGAGCACTGCAGGGGGTCCAGGTATTAAATGACTCAAGTTTTTGTTTAATAACCTGCAGAACAACCAACAAAGCACATATTGCCATTGGAATTGCTTTGAGCATAATTCCATGAGCGGTGTTTTGCATTAAAATCACCAAAACCACCTGAAGGTTACCCTTGCGAAAATTCTTTTGCTGGCCTACGCACTGGAATGGCAAATAGGCAGCTATAAACGTAAGTTGTCCAAATTTTGTTTCAACAGAAAATCCCAAAGTTTCAAAACTTTGGTTTCACATGAAGAAAGAATCTTATGTTTGATACGTTTATGAACAATGATGGCAACGCTACCACCGTCTCCATTAAGACGATCATTTTGATAAATAAAATAATGTGCGTCCCTTTTAAGCGTATGGTCAGGTTTAAAGAATGTTTCAGTTATGACGGCGGTATGCACGTTATGAACTCTCAGAAAGTTAAATAGCTCGTCCTTATTATCTTTAAGATATCGAGCATTCTAATTGAAAATATTTAGGGATTTGAAAGCCATTACTGAATTACAAAGTCATGACAATATTATCATTAAGTTTAACTTCAGTTTGAATAGCATCAAACATGGAGTTATTTTCAGCATATCAGTATCAGTTTGTTAATGATTCCTGTAAAAAATCCATTTTTGAGCAGTAATGCTACCTAAGTCAAAATCATCAAAATTTTCATTAGAATTATGTTGGCATGAATTTTGACTGTGACTATATGTTTTGTATTACTTCTGCCTTAAGTCAACGATTTACATATTTGAAGGTGCTAATTTCAAATAACAGACGATCTCGAGGGACACGGGTAGGGTAGGTGCTGCTACTGTGCCTTAGAATAGATAGAACTGTTTCAAACACATCGTCAGTACATGAGCGAGTCGGCGATCATCTCTTTTTGCCAGTGGTGGCGGGGGGAATACTCTTCACCATCCCTCTCCAACGGGGTTTTTTGGTCAAGAGAGATGATCAAACCGGTTTGTACCCTCCTAAAGTTTTCCTTGCTCGCTTTCTACTCTCTACATACAATTTTCACACTGCCGTACTCTAACGGAACTATCAACTCTATACTTTCATCTCCTCATGCATCGTATAAAAATTACAATTTTAGTCTGTTATTTGAAATTAGCATCTTCCACTAAGAATTTTGATTTCGACTTCTACCGGCTGCAATAGCAGCAAAGATAGCTCTATTTACATGCTGAACATTGTTAGCAGCGAGGGGAGCAGGTAAAGATGAATAATTTGAAGAAGGGGTGATGTTTGTACCTTCGGGTACGGATGTAAAATTTGTTCTTCGCTAGCCGTTGTTAACAGCAGAGGAATTCGTACACACTTAGAAAAAATAATGTAAATTTAGGTGCTCTGAGACTGACATATACGAGCGTCAATTTTGACATAGAATTGAGTCATAAGAGACGTGAAATTCAGCTCAATCAAACGTACATTTCGTCGAGTAACAAACTATTCAGTCTCGGAGCACTTAATTTTACATGACATGTTTGTTTACGTCTCATCCTTTGTGTCAAAGGTGGATTCCGTCACGTGTAAAATTAGATTTTTCTAAGTGTGTAGCTGATCAGGAACGTGGAGCGTTCCTTACCTAACGCTTAGAAATGTAGGTGACTGTAGGATCGCTTTGCGAGTCTTACATTCCCAAAAATTGGATATATGTTTTTTTTTTTATTTCTTAGGATCTTCCTTCAGAGTACAGACCTCCTTAGCATGAGAGGAATCACCACAATTCATGAATTTAGCTGGCATATAGCAATTTTTTGTTCCCTGATTCCATTCCTGGTACTTACGGGCACAGGTGTTAGAAATTTCCGCCAGTCTTCCAGGCATGGACATGGAGCATAAGGCTAGCTTTTTCTAAAGGTTGTTTAGTTCACTAGACTTGAAGTGAACTAAATAAAAATCATTAGAGCGAATCATCGTTGAGCGAATCGCCAGGACGGGATTGCACTCGGGATTGAATTTTCATTTTGATTACTTGGATTGGCTCAACTCCAAGTATTTTTTTCAATTAATCTCTGATCTTATCCAGGGATTCACCACTGGGCAGATCTTTCAAGACAACCTTCAATAGCTGTTCAGATTTGTTGTCGTAGGAAAATAAATTAAGTTGCTTCACAGTAAGATACTGGAGAAAACGTTTGAATCTGTCCATGGTTTCAGCCAGTATACGGCATTGACCACGACGACAAGTTTGAAGTGAAAATTTAAATGTTACGAAGTTCAAAAGTTCCGTGCGAAGAGCATGGAAATTTGAAGTGGTTACCACAATAGGGAGGACTTTTTCCTTCTTGGCATTAAGCCGGGAAATATTATTGGAATTTTGCCTGACTGATGGATCATTCTCATCATCCGTGAGCATATAAAATTGATTACTCAAATTAATTTCATCAGAAGGGGGATCAAGAGATTGCCGTTTTCTTTTGCGTTTGGGCGCAATGGCTGCAGATAAACGTATCTCTTAATCGAAATTTATTTGCCTTAAAACATCATCGCACAAATTATGCAAAATATGGGCCATTAAACCGCATGATGGCCTCTTACAATCACTACTGCGAAACCATTGACTTTACAATGTCTCGGCAGTGGAGGCGAACCAGCCCAAGGCTGAAAGCCTCCCTAATAAAGATAAATTAATTAATTAATTAATGTCTCGGCATAAACTAAAACAATATTTTTACTCCATAAGGCATTATAACTCATAAAAAATAGGAAAGCTGACACTGCTTAATTTTTATTAAAGAAAAAATTATACTTTTAACCTTTTGTCCAAAGTTGACGAAATAAATAAATAAATTTAAGAAAACAAAACTGTATTCTAATATGTACTAGTCTACGTTGGTTGACGAAATAAATAAATAAACTAGTGAATCTAGTGAAACTTCCGACTAGATTTTTATAAGAATCTGAAGGATTGAAGCAGAATCTTCCAAGGTAATGTTCAAGCAGGACTCCCTCGAGTAGGATCCAGACAAGGTTCAAAGAGGAATAAGAGTATAAAAGGTAGAAAATATGTAATATTTAGCACTGAGAGGTGCTGTTTAAATTTTTTGTAGCTTTATGTAGCAGTAACACTTCCTTCAGCAACAAGCAATTATATCCGTACGGCAAGAGAGCACAATGCGGACTGGTGCAATGGTCTTTATTATCAGCAAATATAAAGTACACAAAATTGTAAACTATTCCATTGATATTTACCTGTATTCTAAGATTTATTGAAAGCTGATTCTTTTTAAATTGGGAAGTAAACAGTATCAGATACATCAGATATCTCAATTTACAGAAAAAAAACAGCTGTCCAGCAATTCATTTTTCCAGAACTCGATCTCAAAATTTAGTCAGTTGCTCGAACAACAAGAAAATGCAAATAATGCTTAACGTTTTAAAGTCGTATCTGATTTAACTTTATTACTTTTATTATTTAATTGACATTCAGCTCAATCTAATTTAAAGACTTTGAACACGAATCAGACTTTGTATTGTTAGCTGTAATTCATTCTTTGATTTGACTAGGTTTTTTAACTAGATGTTAATCTATGTATATTATATAATCTGCTTGACCTTATTTATTATTTACTGAATTTGATTCCCTTTTTCTTAACCCTAAATGCTCTACATGTACTCAATAAGTAGTCACAACAAACTTAATCTCGATAACATAAACAAATCTATTGACCTTTTCGTGACAAATATCCTAATCTAAGTTATAAATTTTTGAGCAAAATACGCGACCGTAAACTGCCAGAGTAAAAGCTTACACCAGCCTAAACATGATAAAGTGACCATTAAAAACGTTCACACCTTAAATAAACACGACACAGTTTGATCGCCACTGTATTAGATCCAAACTAAACTGTTGCCTCAGTCGCTACAGCGCTTTCGGTTGGGCACCTTACTGCAATTACCCTTTTCAATCATCTTTGAGTGCAACTTTGCTACAATATGCAACCAACATTCTCAAATATCTCAACTAACAATGATAATTCATGTCTTTGCTTGACTATTGCTATATTCTAATTAAGAAGCTCTCTTTGCCTTGATATGATTTGATTCTGCATTCATTGTACAACCACTATCAACAGTCAATCAAATGCTTGCCCCGATGACATACTGTTCCACAGTGAAAGGAAAACAAATGTTGAATACCTATCAGATGCACCGCCCAAATAAAATTAATGATACATTCATATTAACGACATTAACCAGTAGAAACTAACACACATCAGTACTTTTCCATAGCGAAATTTAAACCGTAGAACAGTATAAAATGGTTATTTTTCTTTCTCGTTTTTTTCTTTCTCTTTCAAATTAAAAACCGATTAATATATGTACAAAAACAATATATATCCACCATTCACCACCACCACCAACAACAACCATCTCTACCGACCGGTTCGAAACTGTACCTAATTTCACACCGTCTCATCGTCTCATTGTTTGCCAAACTTGAAACCAATCCTCATTGCAACCAAAATCCAACACCAATAAAAACCAAACTCATTACCAATCAATACCAACAAAAGAAGTGACCAACAACGGTAGACCCATGAATCCCAGTCTCAGCGAAGACTCGGTAGCGGAAACAGCACTGTCCAAGAAAAATTCCGATGGTGAGTTTGCCAATAGTAGAGTCCAAGACAGTCACCACATTTAGATATTTACATTTACATTTAGAACATACAACAAGCCAAAACAATAGTAGCAGGGAAAAACATTATTTCATCTGATATAACCATGCTAGAAACAAAAGCCTTCGGTTCAGTTTTCGGTTGTTCTATCATTTTTGTTTTTGATGTTTTTGAGCAAAACTGTTTTCCGTTACCTTCCTGTATATTTATAATTTCTCTCGTTCCGGTCGATGTTAGCAAACACCACTCTGTCTATTTGTGTGTTGTGCTCTCGCACTCTATCTCTGCCTATATATCTAGATGAAATCCTAACTTTCTTTAAAACAAAACAAAAAATGGATCGATGTTTAAAGCCTCTACCCGGGCAGCAATGTGGAAACTTCTTTTGTTAAGTAATAAGACGATGTTTAGTTTTGGAATCATGTGTTGTTTTCTTCATTGGTTGCCGGTGTTGCACGTAGCTTGTAAGTGTTGTTTTGATACGTTTCACTGTGCAGTAAGTATTATTAGATCAAGGTGCTTTTTTGACTAACGGACGCCATTCTCCTTCATCAAATAGTTTTAGTATTAGAGGCGTTTACAATCACCTTGTCGTCTAAACACGATGGTAGTTTATTAAAATGATCAATTTTCGAGATAGCTGATAAAACTGCTTCAATAGTTTTATAATGAATGTCGCCTCGATAGTCTGACATCTTTGTAATCCACCGATATTTTTCAAGAAAAATTACCCATATGCCATTAATAATGGGTTTCCAGCGTGAAAACTAGTACCAAGTAGATCGTACACACTAAAAAATAATGAAAATTACATGGGACGTAACATGTTACAAGCGATAAAAAATGGAGCATGTATGAAATTGTACATGTAATTTTACAGCATTTGGTATGTAACTGCTTCAAACATGTAAATGTATGTGCTTGTCATGTAAGTTTACATGCAAGTCAGGTAAGCTTACTTGATGATCATGTGCATTAGACTGGCCCACATTTATATGAGAGCAAATTTTTATCATTTTTTTTTTTTCAACGGATCAACCCCTAGATTTGTGCCATCAGGAGAAAAAACCGCTCTCTGAAAATTTCAGCTCATTCGGATGTAACACGAGCTGGCGCTTTTGATTTAAAATTTATATGGGGATATTGGTTGAAATATATGGTGTATGCACTCTTTCGTGCATAGAACTGGATCAGCAAATAGGATTAAGCTCAGAATGTCAGCACACTTAGCTTAAACTATAAGGAACAACTTTTCTCAAGACAACATCACGATTCAAGTTAGTATTATGGTGATATTAATTAGTTATGTGCACCACAGGCCAACTTCCAGACTCGTGTCAGTAGGTGAGATAACCACTCTCTGAATGTTTCAGCTGTTTTTGACGTAACACGGACTGGTGATTTTGGTTTAATGTTTATATAGGGGATTTGGTTGAAATTTGCATATACAAAATGCTCATATACATTCAAAAGCGAATATCTCAATAAAACTAACTGGATTCGAGATGTAATCTTCAGCATCTCATTGATTGAACTACAAGTTTTGAAAATCGGAATCAAATCGATACTAAGGAAAGTGTTTTATGGTTGATAAAGTGTAGGAGTGTCATTTTTGCGTGTATCTTATTCAAATTCCCCATACAAAATTCAAACTAAAATCGCCAGCTCATCTTAGAACCAAATGAGCTGAAACTTTCAGAAAATGGTTTTCTCACCTAAAGGAACATATCTAGTGGTTGGTCCGTGGAAAATTAGAACTTTTATTTTTGTGGGCCTGTCTAATGTGCATCATGTAAAGTTTCATGTTAAATGATGTAAAATGATGCGATTTCTCCTGTTAGTTTACATGTTTTTAGTTTGGCAAAAAGTTTACAGGAAAATATTGAATTTTACAACACTTTTTTGGTGTGTATATCAACACTATCGAAGAACAAATGTAGCTATTTATGTGTCATTTCGTAGGGTCTGAACGTGTCAAACAAGAGTTCACCTCGATAGTCTTACCATGATGATGTTGTTGGATTAACTAATAATCATCAAGAAACAAACTTATAAAGTGTGCAAACTTTACATTGCGTCTAGTGTCATTTCAAAGCATAAGACTGTTGTGATTGAGAAAAAATTTCACATAACGTTAGTTGTTAATAAAAGAGGAAAATCAATGCTCATGTTGCTTCAAATCCACAGGAAACCGTTTTAAATTAGGAAGATTTATAATGAGCGAATTTATTTGATCAAGACCAATCGGAAAGATGTGTCTGATTAATGTTAAGGTACATTATTGGAATACATAGCTGTTCTTGTATTATGATGGACATTATTCATTTCTCGATACATTTTTTTAAACTTTGTGACCAAATGCTACGAGCTGGGAGTGCTAAAATCGAAATGAAAAAAAATGCAACGTCATTGACTCCTGATGTGATTACCGGAAGGTTCTTTAAATAATTTTGAAATTTTTAACTAAGTTTCTCGTGAAGTATATTTCGAAGTATAAAGAAAGAGAGAAGCATTAGTAATTTACATTTTATACTACTCGGTTATTAGTACAAGACACTGAAGAAGTCTGCAAATTGTAGACAAAATATGCGTATCTGTCAAGGATAAGCAATTCAGGTAGTGAAAGTAACTGTAAATTACTAATTTTTTTCTTCTTCTTCAAACAGGTATTCTACTACCCGAGCAAGAACCGATAATTAACCGAAGACACATTAATATCTTAATTCTTTATTATACCTTATTTGGGTATGCTTGTGGTAGAAAACTTTGTTTTTCTATTAGTCAATTATCGAAACATTTTGTAAAATATTAAATAAATATAACTAAGGCCTGTACTCGAAAAAAATGCACCAGACAAAAGTGTTCGCCAAAAATTTCTTGATTTTCTTGAAACTTTCAGGGAATGAACTTATACATATGGATTATGTTTCGGTATAATTACTTTATTCAATTTCCTTTCCATCGCTGACAGCCCGCACCTTCATTACATTTTGTGCAATAGTGGAGCCGACCTTTCACTTTCATCCATTCTTTCTTCAACTCCAGCTGGTTCTTAAACACCTTGGACGATTTTCGAACTTTGGCCTTCATTATGGCCCAAAATCTTTCCACCGGACGAATCTCTGGTGAATTTGGGGGGTTGGCGGTTTTGGTACAAAAACAACGTTATTGTCTCTGTACCAATCCAACGTTGATCGCGCGTAATGGCATGATGCCAGGTCCGGCCAAAATAATGTCTCGCCTCCATGGGACCGCAGGAAGGGCAACAGACGCTTCTGGAGGCACACGGTGCGGTAAATTTCGCTGTTGATGGTACCCATTGTGATGTACGGTTTACTCAGCTTACCGCATTGGCATATGGCCTGCCAGAGCAAGTATTTTTTGGCAAATTTGTCCACTTTCTTCTTCCTTATGGCTTCCGGAACATCAAACCGTGATTTGGCAACGTAGAACTCCAGCCCTGGAATCTGCTTTGCGTCTGCCTTGATGTAGGTTTCGACATCCATAACCACACACATCGGTTTCGTTAACCACTCTCGATACAGCTTCCTTGCGCGGGATTTGGCCGCCGTGTTTTGTTGATCACGCCGGTTCGGTGCCTTCCAGACCTTGAATACACGAAGCCCAGCTCGTTTCATGGTTTGCTGAACGAACGAGGCGGAACACTTTGCCTTCAGAGCCGCGTCGCGAATCGAAAGGTTCGGATTACGCTTGAAATAATCCAACACCTTCCGGGCCTTCACAGGGTCAGCTGTCTTCGATTTTCTTCCACTTCCAGCCCGCCGCTTGGTCGTCTGGGACTCCTTAAACGATTTTAACACCCGAGACACAGTTGTATGGGTGATTCCCAGTTGTCTTCCGATCCATCTCATGGTCGCAGTCGGATTTTCCATGACTTTCGATGACATCTCAATAACCACTGAACCGATTGTTATGAAATTTTGCACATGTAAACAATTCACTCCAAACTAGTTAAACCCAGATTTTCATCAATTTTTACCCACGGATAAAAGAGTTACACACGGATAAAAATGGTGCATTTTTTTGGAGTACAAGCCTTAGTTAATAATTAATTAAGAAGTTATAATAAGTGACGGATAATTAACGCATTTATTTATGCCTTAATACCATATTTTTTTATTTTAAATGCATTATAATGCCAAGCCAATAACTACTATTTTAGTTGTTATTGTCTAAAACTGAAAGATCACGTTGTGCTATTTTGGTATCTATTTGATGTTTTGCAAAGTATGTCGATAGTTGGTTAGTATTAAAACAAGGTTTTATACCACAAGCATATCACGGTAATATATTCACATGCTATCTGTTTTTTCTTGGGCACTCAAGCAGGAACCGATAGCTAACCGATAACATATGAATATCCTAACGCATTAACGTCCAGGGATCTATTGATCACTCTGCTTTTTTTCATTTATCATGTCTTAACAGAAATTGAGAACGTAAATTATGTTTTCAATTCCACTAGAATGAGCATTAGAATATCCTTAAAATCTTTCAAAATGTTTTTATGTTACTGCATACGCGAAGTTTGCGATTTTCAGAGCTGGTTGGAAATGCTAACTAACATGAAGCTTTAGTGCGATAATTTATTAGCTAGATAATGATCTTAGAAGAGGGTAGGTAGAGTACGACAGTATGAAAATTGAACAGAAGTTGAAAATGAGCGAAGGGCCATTAATGCGACAGTACAAAGTCAAACTCACACCTTTTGCCTAACACGTTCGATGCACGCGGAGATTTGAAGCATGTCTTCAAATCTACAGGCAAAAAGTGTGCGCCCGCCTTTGCCAACTACTGTCTGCGGCTGTGGAATAGTTCTAGCGACGTTTCATCACTATCTAAAGCCCCACGTTGCCGAAGGCATTTGCAGTCGATGGTGTGTTAAAATGCAATTCTTCTTTACCCAACTATTGTGTTGCTCCTCTCGTCATGGTCATCTCAGAGAGAAAGCAGTAGGGTGG